GGAAAGAATGGCAGGAAGAGAGATGTACTACTGTACTGACGTGGGCCCAAAGCCACCAGGGACATGTATACTTGGGAGAGAGGAATGGCCACTGGTCCAGGACGTGTGACCTGGACTGTGTGATTCTGAACCCACTGTGAAATTTCTATACCACAGTGATCTAGGGTAGGGGGAAAAATGGGTCTAGTATGGTCAGTGGTTACAGCCCATACATTGAAGGCTCATGGGTTCGATTTCCGGTCACGGGTACGTACCTGGGTTGCAGGTTCAATCGCCAGCCCAGTTGGGTCGCCTGTGGGAGGCAACCAATGTGTCTCATTCACATCTCTCTCTCTTTCCCACTTCCCTCCCCTCTCCTCCCTTCCTTCCACTCTCTCTAAAAATCAATGGAAAAAAATATCCTCGGGTGAGGATTAACAAAAAAAAGGGGAAGGTGGCAGGAGGACTTGAAGACCTGAAAGAGAATTTGGTGCCAAGGCTAAGGCTTCTCAGACCTCCCTGTTGGCTGGGAGAGGAGAGAAGATTAATACCTTGGGTCAGGGGAGGCTGGAGGCAAGGATTTTAGTCCACTTGACAGACAGGTAAGCTGAGGTTTGGCAGGCTGACATGGAGCCCATCACATGAGCATGTGATGTGTTGTCCTCCCATCATGGCTGCTGTGGCCTGCTGGACACCACCCTCCTGCTTTCCCCTCCACAGATTCCGTGAGCTGGGCCCAAGGACTCCCCAGTCACCCCGACACACCATCCAACATCTACGAAGGAGGGCTGGGGGCCCAGCAGCAGCAGTGTCCCAGTGCCCAGGGAAGCAAGCCCAAGAACTTCCGGCTGCGCCACCTCCGGGGCCTGGCACTCTACCTACCAGGCCACATGCAGCCTGCTGGCCAGTGTGAGAGTCACTGGCTGGGCCGGCTCATGGCTGGGGGCTGCCTCCCATGGCCTGAGGGCATGGCCTGGCCCCTGGACCTGCCACAGGGGACTCTGAACCCAGGTAACAGCCACCGTTCAGCCCTTCTGAAAGCTCAACTGCCCAGGGACAGCCTGGGAAATACAGGTGAGCACCTGTCTAGGTGATGCAGGAGGGAGAGACCCAGGGAAGGGGTGGGTTGGAGACTCAGTTGGATGCAGATGGGCCCTGCCCCACTCCCAAGCCTCAGGGTTTCTGTGCCATCTCTGCAACTGACAAGCTCCCCCACTTCTGGTTGGGCCTCATTTTCCCCATTAGTAAAATGAAGGGTTTGGGTCAGATGAAGAACTTGAACCGTGTTTCCCTCTTCCTCCTCCCTCCCTCGTGGATTATCTTTAAAGAGACCCCCCACCCCTACCCCTTCCACTCCTGTTTTAAAGGATGTCAGGTTCTAGAGGGGGGCATCATAGGATAAGATAGGCTGGCAGCCTCCCCTTGGGCCTTCCAAGTAACTCCTCCCTCCCCTTTCCTCAGCATCCAGTTCCAGCATGGATCCAGCCAAGGGTGCCCCCTCCCAGCCTGGTACCCATGAAGGCTTGGGGTTCAGGCCCAAGAGATCCTGGGAGGCCTCAGAGGAGCCCACCTGTCCACTGTGCAAGAGAATCTGCTCTGGGGCTCTGGAGAGGCCATAGGGATCCGAGTGCGGTTTTCACAGCTCAGGACAGGAGGGGAAAGATGACCCAGGAGGTGGCGGAGGAGGCAGGTCCAGAGAGGAAGGGCTCAGCCCCACCACTAGCCCCCCCAGATGGAGACACCTGCAGATGCCCAGCACCAGAGCCTGGGCCAACCTTGGGAAAACTCGAGGGGAGGAAGAGGAGGTCCTGAGGGAGGGACAGAAGAAAATAGAAGCCTGGGCATGCCCTTGCAGCCTGCTCCAACTCAAGTAAACCACTTGTATCTGGGATGCCGGGCTGAGTGGAGAGAGGGGCTCCCAAAGAGGCTGGGGAGCCTGCTGGTCTAATCTCAATAAAAGCCAAAGCCCACATGCACCTTTGTCCCTCCGTCTGTCATCAGGCCAGTTCCATTAGAGAAACAGCCCCTTGGCACCTGTGTTTCTGAGAGCAAGTTTCCATGTCCTGGCCCTGTTGCTATTTGGGGCCAGATCATTCTTTGTGGTGGGGGCCATCAGGGGTGTTGTAGGATGTTGAGCAGTGTCAGCAGCCTCTACCCACTAGACTCAGCTAGCTCCCTCCTCCAAACTGTGACAACCAAAAGTGTCTCCAGATAGTGTCCAATATCCCCTGGGGGTAGAATCACTCCTGGTCTATGTCACTAGGCCTCAGCCCTGTGGGGTCAGGATGGGAAGACCAAGGTTGGCCTCTGACCCTCACTGTTTGGCTGACTTCCAGTCCTGGCAGCCCAGGTTGGAAGCCCCTTTGGGGGGCTCCTGCCATACCCACGTGATAGTGTCTATGATTCTGGAGACCAGGAGAGCTGGGTTCCTTCCAGACTGCCCCCAGGGTTCAGATCTGAGGATGCCCAGTCTGTGGTGGCCTCCACTGGGCCACATCCCGGTGGTCTGACCCTGTGTATTACTTCCTGTCTTGACTTGGGACTGGCTCTGGGTCTTGCTTTACCACAATAGATGTGGTAGAAGTAACTTGGCATCACTCTGGCATGAAGGAAGCCTGGTGGCTTCTAGTGTGTGTGTGGGGGGGGCAGGTCAGTATCCACATAAAGAGCCTCCACACGGTGGGAAACCAACCCACACCCAGGGAGGCCACCACTGCCCTCTGAACCACCTTGGGAGTGCATCCTTCAGCCCGTTGAGCCCTTGCTGAAGCATGGAGGGAAGACAAACCACAGCCTAGTCTCTCCCTCAAGGAAGGACATCTGCTGCAGCTGAGTTGATCTCTAAACGGTTTTTCCCTAAACCTCCCAAAGCTTTTTTGAAAAGCACTCCAAAGAGGCTGACAAGTGGAAAGCCATGGCCATGGCATGCTGGGGACAGGGAACTGATGTGAAGGAGCACCCAGGGCCTCAAACAAGCAGACATTTGTGGAAATGCACACTGACCAACCTGGGGCATCCTCACCCCATTCCCTGAATGGCCAGTGGGTTTGGAACTGGGCCACCAGGAGCCAGTCTCAGCCCTTGGGAGCCTATCCTTGAAGCCTGATGGGTTGGAAGGGCACAGTTACCTTTAGGACCATGGTCACCAGAACCCCTGCCCCTACCCACCCTCGCAAGTTAATACTTGGCCACATGACTAACCAAGGGCCCCAAGGAGTCACCCCTTAATTCAGAAGCTGACCCATTAAACAAGGTGTATCTGCCTCAATTAGCAAGGGTGTAACTCACAGCACTAGGATGCTGCTAGGACTCAGAGACCAGGCCAGTTCACTGACCTTGAAACATTCAACGCCTCTAGCCTCCATACAACCCCATGGGCTGGCTCCCTGACACCCAGCTCTGCAGGTGCCTCAGGCCCTGTCCTGGGGAGGGCTGTCTGGATGATGCGCCACCGTCAAGGGAACAGTACACACAGGTTTTGGAGGGGCCGTTCAAGAACTGCGTGGCTCCTGGGTAACTGCCGGCCCTGAACCAGTTTTCATCTGTCTAAAGGGGCGACTAGCATGACTCCATGGCCAGGGTGGCCAGAAACTCCAAGGAGAGATTGCTGGGAGCACATGATCCCAGACTTGGCCAACCTCAGGCTCCCAAGATGAGGTGCCCTGGACCAAAGGTCCCAGTCCCCCCGGCTCCTGTGGCAAGGTGCACTGGCCCAGGGTTCCTACCTGACCACTGCATTGAGTCACCTATCCAGCCTCCTCTAAGCCAGGATAGCGACCCCCAGAGGACTGTGCCCCAGCTCAAGGCCTAAGGTTGGCCAAGGAGACCCCTAAACAAATGCGGGCAGCTGCCTGAGGATCTTCTGAGGTTAGAGAAAGAACCCAGTTGTGCTTTTTGACTCTAGACCCTCTTCCCAGGACTGCATTCTTTGGCAGGATAATGACACAATCGGTCCTTTTACCTGGAAGCCATCCTCGGGACTAGACAGCAACCAACAAGCAGCTCCTGGACCACCTAAAACCACTGTCCCAGCAAGGGGGCAAGTCCCCACAGGAATGGCCCAAAGTGCAAGACAGGATGTGACCAATTAAAGTCTATTTATTTGTTTGTAATCAGACAGAACACTACAATCTGTTCAACACTGGGCTAGACATTGCCGTGATTAGGGACGAGGAGGAAGGGGCAGGGCAAGGCCTCGGCTCAATTATGCAAGTCCAAGGCAGAACCTTCTGGAAGACTCTTCCCTTACCCCGTGGGGCAGAAATAAAAACCACATGATAACCGTTGATTCAGATTAGAGAGGACACTGAGCTGGGCCTCAGCTCAAAGTCAATGTCAGCACGGAGCGGGGACCAGTCAGTGAGAGTGTGAAGTGGCCGAGGAAGGAGAGGTGGTTTTCCTGCGCAGGCTCGCCTTCATCTCGAGAAACCCCTTCCCCCACCGCAAGGCCAGAGGAGCCCCTGGGCTGGGAGTTCCGAGGGAGGGAAGGATGCCAATCCGAGGCCCTCTTGCTTGGTTGTTCCACCTTCTCCTCCCTCTCAGACTGTGCACTGTGGCGATGGCTCCAGGACACTGCAGCAATGCTGGGCATGACTCTGCCAACCCCCTTTACTCTGGAGGGCAGGGCAGGGAGCAAGCAGCTTTGGGGGGTGGGGTGGAGGGAACGCCAGAAGCAAGTGATGTCCACACGCATGCTTCCTGGCACTGACACAGCCTCTTCTGTTCCCAGAGGCTGAGGACCACAAGGCAAGCGACTGCCCCCAGCCTCAAAGGCCAGGTCCTACTTGATCAAACACCACACTCAATTCTTCTTGTTTGCATATGGTCAGGCCTCAGAACTGCATCTCACAGAACTGGGGGGCTGGAGGGGAGGGCCCTTGGGACCCTCACCAGCACCTGTCCTCAGCCCGGCTCCCTGGGGCAGTTCAACTGAATGGCACATCCAGCATGTGATGGGTAGTTCCTCGCTCTCTGAGACAGCAGGACTGCCAACAGAGGGGTGGGAAACAACCTTCCCATCTGACCACCATGCCAGGGAGCCAAGCCCCAGAGCTCTGCTTGGGTGAAAAGCCTCCCACCACTCGCCAGCCCCTCCTGGGGAGGTAGGGGTTGCTCCTGCCCCCCAGGCTTCTGAGGCTGGTTCTTTACAAGGGTTTGGCATTCCCTTTATTTCACCTCTTCATTGTTTTGAGGCTCCTGTGTCTTTAGGGCCAAGTCTATCCATAACACTTGGGTTCCTCCCTCCCAGGAGTTAATTCCGGCTTTGGAGGAAGGAGTTGGAAGGAACGGGCAGTGCGGGGGAAGAGGCCAGTGAGGACGTGCAGGGAAGGAAGCCCTCTCCTGCCCCCATACTCCCAGGGCAGCAGAAGCAACTGACCACAGTGAACGCTGTGGCCAGCCTATGAGGCTGGTGCCCTCACATGGGGGCCAGCCCAGGGCAAGGGCAGAGGTTTCCAGAGCAGGAAGGAGGGCTGGAAGAGCCTGCAGGAAAGAGAAGAGGGGAGCAGGGGTGAAGGTCTCCACAGAAACACTATGCCCACACTATGTCTGGCCTAGGAACCCACTGCTGGCCCTGGGTGCCCCCGAAGGGTGAACCCTTCTCTAGACCCAGAGTCCCTTTTAGTGACATCTGGGTTCCTTAGTCCCAGCACAAATCAAGGCACTGGGCATGCCAGCCCAAGTGGCCATGGAGCACACTGTATGAGCTTGGCTCAAATCAATAATCTGCTCTAGGCCATGTCCATGCATAAGTGGATGAGCCCTGGGGTCCCCATGACCCTTTCCAACTCTGATGTTCTCTGAGGTCTGAGAGAGACTGGCTCCCCATAGTACTCATGGTGTTCAGAAGTGACCATGTCTATATCTTTATGTCTGTATAGGTTTATAGGCATACAAATATGTTTGAAAAGAGGTTTACCAAAATATTAGCGGTTTTCTCTCAGTGATGAGGTTTTACTTTTTTCTTCACACTTTTCTATATGGTTTGAGTTTTAAAGTAATGACCATGTAACATGTTTATAATCATAATAAAAATAAAGCTATTATTTTGAAAGAAAAGGAAAAAAAAGTGGCCATGTCTGAACAGAGCCCTCATCTATAAGGTGCCCACCTCAGGGAACTTCATTGTGAGCTGATGATGCCGCTGGTGTTAAAGCTGACATCAGCTCCAGACACCCCTTGGAAAGGTAATAAGTGGTTATGGATAGCGGGGTGGGGGCAGAGAAAGGGCTTGATCTTTTGGTACCTTTTCCATTTCTGTGAATGCATTATTTTTTTAAAAGTTGTTCAAGGGAAAAGATGAGGTTCTGGGCAAGGGCTCAGGACTCTGCTTTCCTCCTTCAAATTC